GTGTGCTTTTTTTGTACTCGTGCAATTTTGAATTGTTTGAAAAGAAAAATTGACAAATATGATGCCAATTTTCGAATGTTATTTTCATGTGCTTTCTTTGTACTCGTGCAGTTTTGAATTTATTACTGAAAAAGGAAAATTGACAAATATGATGCCAATTTTTAAATGTTATTTCCATGTGCTTTTTTTGTACTCGTGCAGTTTAGAATTTATTACTGAAAAAGAAAAATTGACAAATATGATGCCAATTTTCGAATGTTATTTTCATGTGCTTTTTTTGTACTCGTGCAGTTTTGAATTTATTACTGAAAAAGGAAAATTGACAAATATGATGCCAATATTTAAATGTTATTTCCATGTGCTTCTTTTGTACTCGTGCAATTTTTAATTTATTAAAAAGAAAAATTGACAAATATGGTGCCAATTTTTGAAATGTTATTTTCGTGTGCTTTTTTTGTACTCGTGCAATTTTGAATTGTTTGAAAAGAAAAATTGACAAATATGATGCCAATTTTCGAATGTTATTTTCATGTGCTTTCTTTGTACTCGTGCAGTTTTGAATTTATTACTGAAAAAGGAAAATTGACAAATATGATGCCAATTTTTAAATGTTATTTCCATGTGCTTTTTTTGTACTCGTGCAGTTTAGAATTTATTACTGAAAAAGAAAAATTGACAAATATGATGCCAATTTTCGAATGTTATTTTCATGTGCTTTTTTTGTACTCGTGCAGTTTTGAATTTATTACTGAAAAAGGAAAATTGACAAATATGATGCCAATATTTAAATGTTATTTCCATGTGCTTCTTTTGTACTCGTGCAATTTTTAATTTATTAAAAAGAAAAATTGACAAATATGGTGCCAATTTTGGAAATGTTGCAGGGATGTGCTCTTTTCGAGCTAAATTTATGTAAAACTAGTCCTCTATATGAAAGGAAAATTCGACAACTGTATGATATGATTGACATGTCATATGTGCTCTACACATGTGAAATACATGATATATTTATAATTATATGTCTAAATATAACTAATAAATTATGTAAATATTTAAAAATACAATTCTTCTTCGGGCAACCCCCCATTTTGATTTCTTCAGCTTAAATTTAGTCCTTTTTATATATACTATACATTTAAATTTTCCGCAGGGGATTCCCCTCCGACTATATACATAGACCCAAATTTAAATTCATTAATAGCGCATTATCCTATACATGCATGGATAGACTTTCAGTATCTTAATTATATGTCCACTATTGTCTAACTGAACACGCGCAATTTATTTGTCCTACTTTTCATTATACCTATATCCGCAGGGCGTCCCCCTTAATTGCAAATTTAAACCTCCTTATGCATTATATATTTATAGCTATGTCAGTCGATATGATAGAACGTCCGATATGCACGGATCTATATAAACAAGCAACTCATATATGTCTTATAATTGCTCCTATAGCCCATTGTGTATGTCCGCAGGGCATACCCCCATCACCGAAATTTTAAGCCGCGAATTTATTACGTATTCACTATATGATAGAAAGTCCGATGTATGATCCAAGTACGTAATTCATATGCCCGAATTGTCGCTAACCTAATATTTATGTCCGAAGGTCATGAACTCATCAGTTAGTCAAACTTTAAGACACATGCATTATAACATCAAGTAATATTTACACACAAGGCCGAAACAAAATTGTTGTACCGAATATTTTAGTGTGTGCAAATTCGCAAACCTTACGATGTCTTCTTTCTTGTGATCGACGATCTGCGCGGTAATCCTTTGCGTCGTAATCCTTTATATTTCAGGTATATATATATAAATCCAATCCAAAATAATGTCATAAATCCAATATAATCCACTGAAATGATCTGCAGGTAATATTCAATCCATATATAATATATTATTCTTGTGATGTGTTCCTCTTCGGCGGACGTCTGCATGCGTCGTATACTTTTAAGCGGACGACACAAATCCAAATGCACGGCTGAGATTATGTGAAGGTATTAATAGCCAATCCATTCAAGTTTTAATCTGCGTGGGCGGTCCACAATCCCAACGACCAAGAAATTTACTGAAAAAACAAAGACAAATCATATTTAAAATATAGATAGAAAATTACTCAACTCTCATGGGCTACGAAAGCAGTGCCGTTATTTTGTAAGAGAGCCTGGAAACGAGACTGTGTTTATTTTTCTTGTCAGACCAATCTCGTTCCCCGAACCTGCGATCCTCGGGAAGAAACGCGAGGTCCTTGGATGATCCGTTTCAGGGAGGAATCTGATTGGCCGTTGAAATGGCGTTCCTTTCCGAGGATCGCAGGCTCGGAGAACAAAATTGCTGTCAGACAAGAAAAACAAACATCGAGGTGGATATTGTCGCCTGCGGGCAATTCCAGGCTATCACATGGCAATTCTAACATTGTTTGGCGATGTTGTGGGACTGCATTCAGGCTACACACGTTAGCAACTGGCTATGTAAACTTTCCTTTTTTCAACGACTGACTGTTTGTACAGTTTCAGTACGTTGGAAATTTTATGTGAATTTGAAATATTTTAATACATGGAGCACTTACAGTAGACTGGCAAGGTTGATTGACAAGCATGCAGTGAAAACAATGCCATCGAAGAGTATATTTTTCCTTCATTTTCATTATAAGATGTTTAAGCAAGCTATGGATTTTGGTTCAGATTGGAAAACACACACTCGTCTATGTTGTTTTCCAAATTGCACTCAAACTATCACATTACTAAACATCACATGCAAGGCCAAGTTTCCATACAAATCTCTTTACTTTCAAAGAAGAAGTTATGCATGCATGCATGCATGCATGCATGCATGCATGCCAACTCTTCGAAAGTCTGTTTACCAATAGCTAAATCGCACAAATATGAAACGTCCACTAGGCACAGTGGACTACGATTTTGTGTAATCATGCACGTAAATATATAATTGAGACCACTACTAGTCTATAGGATGTATAAAAATCGAGACCGTTAGAATTTCAATTCTAAATGTTGTTAAATTAAAGCACAAGATAGTTTTTGCTACTGGGAATTTAAATTTTAAAGTATCTTATCTGAAGGAGCATAGGAGTATAAAACATAATCAAATTACCAATTAGTCATAATCAGTTCGAATAAAAATGGTTCAATTGACCATAGAGCAACACTAGTTTACTGTTTTACGCGTGGCGTTAAATTAATCAGCACATGATTCATATGTTGGAAAAATTAAAAATTTAAATAATTTCGTCATACACCTAAAATTCGCTTCTATTTTTTTTTACGCAACCATGGGTTCAGCATGGTGCTGTGCATTCAAATTCCAACAATAGCTTGATCTCTAAAAGGTTTTTATACGCCCTGCAAAAGCGTTCCTGTTATTCTGTCCACTAGCTAATAGCATATCCGAAGCCAGCTCTTGGATACAAGTTGAGCTAAAGTTATCTATCTATCAACATACCTGCTTGGTCTTCTTCAACCCATATGGCACGTGAGGCACCGACGATCTTCATCTGTCACAGAAACGGCCTTGTGCAGCACGTTATGCCTTGGCCAATGTCAAATCTTTCAGCAGTCATGCAGCAACTGTCATGGTCAGCTAGGTCATGCTATATCAACCGTGTTACCTCTTACCATATGGTGTCCATCTGAGGTGCGTCTGCTGTCAGGGTCCATTCCGCAGGCATGTCTTAACTATCCAATATGGTGGCGCTTGTTTTCAATCAACACAGCACTACAACTCTTCATTTAAGATATTTTGCGCTCACAGTCAGTGAGGGCAAGGGAAACTGTCCGAAATCATTCGACTCCATTAATGCTACTTCAGTCTTCGCTCGCACTTTAGTGATGTGGGTCACCAATTTTATCAGGGCACACTACCAATTTAACACCAATACGACACGAGTGGAATAATCCAGAAATGAGACAACAATTAATACCCGATTACATAACATCGAGTTTCTTGGTGATTTTTAGCCTGAAATAGATTTAGCAAGAATTTAGTTTAAAATATAACCTAATAGGGACTATTCATATACGGACCAAAATCCTTACTCAGCGAGTAAATCCTTAATCTTATGCCTATATGAGAGTTCATGGATTCATGCAGTCAAGATCGAGCAAGTTCGGCACAATGCATACATGCCAATAATTCTAATGTTTTTTCTGGTAAAATTTCACGAATATAGAACGGCATTATGAAGAATACTTTCAAGAAAACTCAGTAAAATTTTAATTGCGTGACAATTCGACAATAAAATAACTTAAGAGACGGACATTAGAAAAGTAAGGGGGAAATGGTGTGGAAAGAATAAAAATCCATACAAGAAAATTTTTTGAAAATAACGAATCCAGGCAGGACGTGGCAGAAAAGGTACAGCACAAAACAAAAAACATGTACATGCACCAAGCGAACTCAAGAGAAGCATAGATTACAGGGACGGTTACCTCCCTGCCCTACCCCCTTCACTTTTTAATGGTCAATTCCCGAACAAACAAACAAACAAACAACAACAGCACTTCAAGTCTGCGAACTTACCCCGCTTGTATAAATGTAATTTCCATTTCGGATGTGATTTTCGGAATGAATTGAATCTACCTAAAATATTATAAAGTACTAGTTAGTTTACATGTTTATTCCATTCAGGAGTGTTGACAGACAATATTTTAAGAGAATAGGAAAAAATGAACGGCAAACTCAAACACAAGCCTCACTAAAATTAGTGAAAGCAGCTCAAACCGGTTCGGTAAAGCTGGCTAGGTATATTCAATATTAGTGTCAATAAATACGAAACTTCGAATATATAGAAATAACATGAAGATAAACGCAATACCTGATAGCTTCGTAGAAGCCACGAAGAAAGCAATTTGACTGAATTGCTTTCAACGTAGATGAAATTCATCCGTTGGCGATGTGTGCTTTCGCAATCAAGTCCACTTCGTTTGAAAGACCAGAATAAACTGTTTGGGCGTGCTCTTTTCGAGAATTTGATAAATGAAATTGAATTTGGCTTCCACGTGCATGGGTACGAAATGCCCATTTCCATGCATCAGATGTATAGAAATGCATCATTCTGATTGGTTGCGACGGAAATAGGAACCCGAATCGGTCACGCTCGATTGGAAATAGGAACCTGGAATCGGTCACGCTCGATTGGTTAACAGATTTTCATGCGACGTAACATTCATGGCACTGGGTTTGTAGATGGAAGATTTCCAACCTGAAATGGGTATAGCAAGAAAATTAGGTGACGGATTAGTTTAAAAGCGATTTAACCATTAATATGGAGACTCTCTCTCGTTAACGAGTAAAATTGTTTGGTCTAGAGAAAATAATAATATAGGATGCATCTGCATGGGCGCATTGTAAGGATTAGTGTCACACCATGGCATTGCAGGCTCAAATTTGTGCTGACGGCCATTTTATGGGCCAAATAGTTCAACTGATCATGGTAGAAAAGCATTTTGTAATCCGTCGTATATTTAAACCATCCTTTGAGAATCCTTCCTTCTTTTATCCGATTCTTACTGAAAATGTATACAACAACGCATTTTTATAGCTATTTGCTAATTTTGGGCAAGATATCCAATATAGATCTCAAACGTAAAAGAAACACATTTTATGCTTTTAGATTATGCAGCATTACCCCGGACCAAAGTACAGGGCCTAGTTGTTTGAAATACAGAACTTTAGCTGATGGGGAAAATACTTTTCGCTAAAATAAGAGAATACTTTAACACGAATTTGATATAAGTCTTGACATTCTAAATTTTCTTAACAAATTGCAAATAATTAAAATGTACCGATTTCATTCAGCATTTCTGTTAGCTTAAATGTTCGATCTTTCCATCACGTACAGACTCATTTTCGCGTACGCAAAATAAATTCATATAAATATAACTTAAACGAGGACCTTTTACAGGGAAACTCGTGGCAAAAGCATGTCACCAAATTATTTAGCGAAAACTAGAGCAAATATGTTTCAAAACCTAAGGTTATATGCGAGTTCATGCAACGTCGAGCTTAACAGCGAGTTCGGAACAATTCAGGCATACATCGCCAATGGCCTTGCGTCTCTTATCTTGCCAAACGTTTCAAGACATCAGACGATATTACACAGAATACATTCAGAAACACTCATGCACCGAACCTTTCCTTCGTAACAAATCGACAACAAATCAATAACTTCAAGCTAGCTAGACAGCAAGAACTTACCCCACTTATAAATGTGCTTTCCGCGTTTCGGACGAGATTTTCGGAATGAATTCAGTCTACCTAAAATTCGCAAAAAAAATTTAGTTTCTTTATACCAGAGTGTTAAGAGGCAATATTTGAAGAGAATATATAAAAAATTTACGGCAAAACATAAAACCGATTAAAATGAGTAAACGCAGCTCAAACCGAAGCGGTCAAGCTGGCTATTCAATATTCGTGTCAATAAATGTAAAACTTTGAATATATAGAAATACCATGAAGATAAACGCAATACATGATAGCTTCGTAGAAGCCACGAAGAAAGCAATTTAACTTTGCTTTCAACGTAAATGAAATTGATCCGCTGGGCGATGTTCTTTCGCAATCAAGTCCACTTCGCTTGAAAGACCAGAACAAACTGTTTGGGCGTGTACGTTTGGAGAATATGATAAAGCAGTACTGTTGAATTTGCCTTTCACGTGGATACAAAATACTCCACTCCTATTGGATGAATGGAATTGCGTCATTCTGATTGGCTGTGACAGAAATAGGAAGACTTTGATTGACTTCGATCACACTTGATTGGTTCACAGATTGTTTGAATATGACGTGGCATTCATTATAGTTTGTTGGTGATAATTTCCAAACCTGAAATATAGATATAAAAAGCTCACAATCAATAAATCAAACACACAATTGATGGTAATGTAAGTGCTACCTAACTAAGTACTGAGATGTCCAAAATCCTACATTCCACATCGATGCACCTTCGCCTCAAGTAAAGGCTAAAGCATTTTGAAATTTTGATCATGAGATGAAGAATTCGTTTCAAATTTGTTGATTTGCAACTTTTACAGAATTGGAAAAACGTTCTGACTAATAATTTAGAACGAAAAGCAGGGACGCCAGAGCGAGGGTAGGGCACAGGTGGGGGGGAATGTTGACGTAAGGGCAATCACTGATTAATATTTTGTTTCCGAAATTTTTTTCCGGAACCTTAATTCACCAAAACAAGGAAAAAAATTTGAAAATATAATTTTTGACACAATATTCCAGAAAATTTCACATATATTTCAATATTACGTACATTTCACCCGTAATTCATACTTTTCAATCGTTGTACCATATATTTTTTGGGTTAGAATTTTTATCTCTAAGGGCACCTTCGCCGCCCCCTGCCCTCCTTTCGGCGTCCCCCCTGCCTCCCCCCTTTCCGGCGTCCCTGACGAAAAGGAGCAGTACAAATGTTGTTGGTTTCATAAGAGATTTACGTTATATATCCCACAAATTCAATGGCATGTCAGTTAAATTTTAACTGAAGCATGCATGCCCAGTCAAACGCCAACCAAGAATTTTGTGAACAACCTTTTGAAGGCAGTTTAAAGCATGATTCAAAGCCGGCCCTCGTGCAAGGAATATCAGCTTAAAAATATAAAAGAACAACAAGAGCAAAGCTTATTTTATATTTCTATAATGTGCAGAATGTCTTAAATTTGAGCAAGATTCAAAACTAGAATTCATCAAATTAACCACGCGATTGAACAATTTCACCACACAAATTTGCGCGACATCGTTGTTGGACATTGCTTTGAGCGAAAATTTTCATCGAATAGCGAGTAAATTTATAATCTATTTCTGTGAGAACATACTATGAAATACTTGAAGTGCAAAAGCTAAGAAAATAGTTGTTCAAACGTAAGTTTTAACGTAGAAAAAACGCTAAACGTCGAACGGCGCGAGGTTGCTGAAGCTGGGTGGGCCAGCCATTAAAATTTGCTATTCGAGATAAATATTCACTTTAGTCTTTACAACCAACAAAAACGCCGATAAATATGCTTAACAGACACATACAAACATATTCTACTCACCAAATATCAAAAAGCCAGTCAATTGATATCTTTACAGCTTAAAATGACAAAATAATTAGCCTTTCTTCCTCGACTTTTATGTACAATGTGCGAAGTGCTTTTTCTGGCAATGCCCTTATGCCCAAGCATACCTTCGACGTCGTAAACAAGTCTCGTTTCCTATTGGCTGTAGTGAAATTCCGGAAGTAATTAAACTGTTCTTAGTTCACTCATTTATTGGTTTGCATTGCAAGCTTCTGATTGGTTAAAACTGCTCCCTTGGGAGAAAAAGTATGAAATTCTATAGCCAGAATAATTTTATTCATATTAATTATACGTGCGCATAATTATTCGCAAAATACGAACCGTGACCGTGTGGCTGCATAGTTAATAGAGGAGATGGTTTGGAAACTCGTTAGCATTACAATAAAATCACAATAAACCTCATTATCTATGTTGTTCAGGTTTATGCAAAAATGTAGTCTTTCATCGTCACGCGCGTATTGTATTTTTCTCAAGTCAACCAATAGGAATATTCAAAATGTCCTATTGTTAAAGTCATGGATGGGCAATTGGACAAAACCGTTGCTATTGGCTGGTTGAGCAAAAATACAATACACACGTGACGATGAAAGACCACATTTTTGCATAAACCTGAACAAAAACATAGATAGTGAGGTTTATTGTAATGCTAATGAGTTTCCAAACCATCTCCTCTCTTAACTATGGTGACTGGGAATAGACCTAACTGGTTTCCATCATGGTCGTAATGTCGTAAAAATAGCTAGAGTCACGATCTTTCTCAACGGCATCATTTATACCTGTAAACCACATATAAATCATGTTTTAAATGAAGCAAAGAAATTTAAACGAAAAGCATTCGAATTTATTGTTTAATTTTGAGACCTGAGATGCTTGGTTTGCAAGCGGTACAAAAAAGTAACGGCGTTTGTGTTCACAGGAAGCCTCCAAGGATCCAAGCGCCCCGTTTTTATCTCGCTCCGTTTAGAAACCGTGCTCATGCAAATTATTACGGCGAAAGTAACGTTTTCAAACAATTTCGCTCCGGCGTTGTGTGAACGAGAGGCGACTTACGATGCAATTTTTCTTGCAACTTGCAATGCAATGCAATTCTACTCTTGAGAGATGTTAATTAGTGAAATCAGTGAAGAATTCTCGATATGTCATAGATTAATAAATGAATAGATGGCTCACTCCTTTGATGTTTTTGACGCTGCCGGCACCCACGCATGTTCTTGCCAGAGTAATGGCGGCCTAGCAAGAACGATAATAATATGTATTGTGAAATTGACATCCGTGCTACTAAATCCTGTATTTTTCCGCTTTCGGGGGTTTGAAAGGAAAAATAAATCAGAATTATAAAAATACAGGATTTAGTAGCACCGATGTCAATTTCACAATGCATTTTACTACAGTAACTTGCTAGGCCGCCATTACTCTGGCAAGAACATGCGTGGGTGCCGGCAGCGTCAAAAACATCAAAGGAGTGAGCCATCTATTCATTTCCTAATCTATGGATATGTTGAGAAAACATCAGCGGAGTGTTAATGAAGACTCGTATTTGGCAATTTTACATCTCTCAAGAGTAGAATTGCATTGCAAGTTGCAAGAAAAATTGCACCGTGTAACATGGCCTTAAAGGCCCATTTCCACTTAAGAAAAATTTCCACGGACAGAGAATTTTTCGAAAATATCATTGTTAAAAGTTGAAAATTTTCAACTTCAAATTTTTTTTCCGAGGGAAAATTTGTGCCGGCCAATCACATTTTACAAAATTTTCTTTCTGCGGAAAATTTGCCTGAGTGGAAATGGGCCTTTTAGGGACCGGTCATTATTTATGGCAGGGGGGGGGGAAATAAGGTGGGCCATATGCATAAATAAATGACTAGAAGGGGGGTTTCACGATTCTCCTGGAAAAATCACCCTTCCTCGGAACTATAAGATCCAGGATATATCGCTTTGAAAATTTAAGGAATGAATTATAGTCGGAAAAAATTAGGGAATACGAAATATTGCCTGTTTTGTCAGAATATGGAATACACAAAACTCAGAGTGACAAACATGCTTTCCACCACTGAGAGAATATTTATCGTTCAAAAATAAAAAAAGTAAATGCTATAGGGTGGGCCGGAGGGAGTACTTTTTTCAATTATAGAATTAATAAACTGGTTATTTATCTTCGTGAAAATGTTCATATTCCTAAATAATCGTGAAGTTATGATATTCGGAGCCAAAATGAACTTAAAATTTGTGTACACCCCCAGGGTTTTGTATCTTTCAAGGTCGTGATTTATTTCCTTCGTGGTTAAGTAACTGGATCTTCAAAAAAAGTTTAAAAAAGTTAACAAAAGTAAAAAAAAAGTTGTTTAAAAAAGTTCAATTAGAGTTGGGGATTAGGGTTGGGTATATAGGGTTGGGGTTAAGGGTTAGAGGTTAGTGGTTAGGTGCCGCGAATTTACCATATTGATAAATTAGGATGTGTTTAAAGTGGCACTCGCGTCAAAGTGGCACTCGTGTCGTTTACTATTTTCTTAAACGAAAATGCTCTTAAAACTGTATATACTGTATAGTAACTTGTTTTGAAGATTTTTGTTTCCAAGCTTAGTTCCTGAGATATTTTATTTATCTTTGTAAACATGTGACGTCAATGACTCAATTGCATATATAATGAAATATCAGTAACTGTTGTGTATATCTTTGCTATTTTTTTTATCAAATCTTTTCAAAGATACAGCGCGTTTCTTAATTTAACCTACATCATTAAGCATATGCTGGTTTTTTTTAAACAAGTCCATAAAAAATAGCAAAGATACACAACAATTACTGATATCTCATTATATATCAATTACATATATAATGAGATATCAGTAAAATAAATTGTTGTGTATTTTTGCTATTTTTGATGAATTGTTAATTGTTACAAACAAAATGAAATATATATCTCCAGAACTAAGCATGGGAACAAAAATCTTCAAAACAAGTTATTATACAGTTTTAAGAGCATTTTTGTTTAAGAAAATAAAAAATTTTGACGCGATCCCACTTCAACAATTTACTCATAATAATTATAGTAAATTCAAATGTGGAGCTCATGCTGCTATTCTGATATAATATACTCATTGACGTCATGTACATGAATTTTTCATTCTCGTTATTGGATAACGTATGAGCTTTCGTTTTTGGCCTGACGCACCACTCCTTTCTTGTTCATCGTTTACAAAAGCGCTCAATGTTTATGATCCTTGTCCTACCTATTCTGGGCATCCTGCTCACTCTCCCTTCGAAGCTAAACGCTGCGGAGAGTTCTGGATGTACATTTGTGGCAAAAAACACTTCAATTCCTGTCCAAAAATGTTTGAAGTTGGGGTATATTCGAGTCGCAGGTCGTCGTGTCCCGTTGGGTGTATACGAAATGCGAATACAACTCGAAGAACCGAGGAGAGAAGCTGTTCTTTATTGCGGAAGATATAGTGGTACCTATAGTTGGAAATTTGCGAAGAAAGATGCAAATCAAATCCGCGTCAGCTTCTTACATGGCTATCTCCATGTAACAGTATATTGGTGTGATAGTTTCTCCGGTCCTAAAGAATCTGGTATACGTTGCGTGGTCGAAGCCTTCTCTACCTCTTGCCCTGGTCTAATTAGTCATAATCATACATGCGTCTACGAAGTGCAAAAAAAACGTTTTTCGAGCGACACCGTGCGCAATGCTGTGGAAGTGAAGGGAGAAGTCGCTGCGCTGGTGAAGAAAGCATACGTCTCGACCGGTGTGTCTCACACTGAAGAACAAACAGTTGTGAACACGTATTCAGTGAACAGTCGATCTTACATTGTCATCCCAGCTGGCTACAGATTTTGTTCATTTAGCGAAGTGATTTCAGTAAAGGATCCCTTGGCAGCAACTGGATTTAAATGGGAATGTAAGGTCCCCACGTATGTACAAACGAGCTCGATCACTGGACGTTGCACAAATCTGTCGCTTTGTGAAACCCAGTCGCCATGCCAGACCAGTCGACCATTATTTAGCAGTGGGGATATTTCTGCAGTCGCTCACCCAGTTGGTATTATGCTACTCGCTCTGTGCATAATAGTAGTGTAAGTCACAATGAGTGAAGTTGGCAAACAGTTATTCGTACAATATATAATCAACAGAATATTGCCGCACTTTATTTTATAATTTTATAACCATGATTATGTACACTGCATAGAGTGTTATTTTAAAGGGTTAGCCGCTATATATCGACATATACTTATTATACGCTATTTGAACACCATGGTTGGGCAAAGTCGACGAGTAAAAACGTTGCAAAAGCATACTAGATAAACAAATAACAGCAAATCATTATACGATTTATTATGCGAAAATATTGAATATAGGCTACAGGGCGCATCAAAAAACGCCATGGAAATTCAATAGGCTGTCGTGCATCATAAACGTACGGCTAAACAATTCGATTTTTACATAGGAGTAAGGATGAAAGACTGCTATTTAGTTTTTCAATGATACTCTTTTTAAATCGTAGCGATGAGAAATGGCCAGAAACTCGTCGAATAAAATTGCAGTTCGAAATCACATTCTTCCACCGTTGGAAGTCTTGGGAATTGCATGGAAAACGAAACATCAAACGTAGACAATTTCCAACTAGGGAATTAAAGTTGAATGTTAAATTATCTAAATGAGCTCAAGTGTCAATCTTCGTCTTAGTGTGACAATAAGAACGTCTATGTAATAATGCATGCATTAAACATTCGCAATGAATTGGAAAACGTTTTACGAAACAAATACCTAACAGCTTGATTAACTTTGCCGCATAATTAATGTATTTTCAATTGCCAACGGTGGAAGAATGTGATTTCGACCGACAATGTTTATTTGACGAGTGTATGGCCATTATTAGCCTACATTAATCATTATTTATTGTTACGGTTTAAGAAAGGTATCATCGAAAAGCTAAATAACAGCTCTTTCGTCCTACAGTATGTATAAAATTGAATAGTTTAGCTAAGTTAGTGATGCACAACAGCCTGTTGAGTTTCCATAACATTTTTTTAGACACCCTGTAGTAAGGCATGTGTATAATAAACAAAAGACTGTTCGGCAGAACACCTTTTTTTGCATTCCACTGATTTCATATTGTTCCAGAACAGCGTTCCAAATGTTCTAGAACAGTAAATGGAGCAGCCTGTTGGGGGTATTGTCGTTTGAAATATTGAACTTTATAAGAGATGGGAAAATATACTCTTCAATCAGGGAATAAACAGGATGAAGGAGTCTCAATTTCAATATTTTATACTGGAAATTGTAAAATAATGGAAACGTATAGTGATTTCAACTATATAGAATCTGGTTAGTTGTAATAAATGTATAAAAATTCCATTCGAAATTTCCATCCACAGTGAATCCAACAATAAGTTATATCGAGTGAGATGCCCCAAATCCTACATTCCACATTCATGCACCTTCGGCTCAAGTAAAGGCTAAAGCGTTTTAAAATTTTGATCATGAGTTGAAGTCTTGAAGAATTCGTTTCAAATTTGTGTGAACACGTATTCGTATAGGTAATAGCGAGCTTAAGCATGTAGGACGGCAACGCGGCGACGACGGCCAAAACAAATTCCTTCAAATAAATGATAGTAAAGAAAACTTGTCGTATATTATAATTCGTATGAATTTAATACAGTATAAGAAGTTAAAAACATTGGCTTTATGTTTGGGAAGAGTTCTACTGAACCGAATTTAAATTGCACTTGTTGCGGCTTGAAATGCAGGCATTGTATAAAAGACGTGAAAATCTGTGATTTGCCGTTGTAAACAGAGCGATAACTAGGCTGTATATACGTTTGAAACTCCCCTGGGACTTTAATTATTTACATCTTTTCATTGACTCATTGTATTGGTTGCCGTCGCCGTACGTCGTGTTGCCGTCCTACATGCTTACACCCGTTTTCAAAATTACGCGACCAAGGACGAAAATGCTAGAGTTGACATGTCAGTTTTATGTCATTCGGTCACGAAGTTTAAACTTTGAGTTTTGCGGTTCCTTGTCGATGTATATGCTTTGTATGCTTTATATAAACAGGCTTACAATGATTTTCAAGATATTTTAGTGAGAATTATTGCAAAATTTAAGCACAAACAAAATCATAACATATCGTTATAGTCTAGCGCGCGTATTTTATACGGACAGCTAAATTCCAGGATAAATTGTTATTTTTCAAACTTTAAAAGTTATTCACGGCACATATTTCTGTTGTAATTGTTTGTATAGTGCTTTAGTTTGTATATTTAAGTTATCTAGCTCATATTTGTTCCGTTTTGGTATTAAATACGATTTAAAATGTCTTTTGCCAGTTTGTTTACGTTTGCTATTTTTAGCAGTTTTTGTGACATAAAACTGACATTTGAAGTAAGAGTATTTTTCAGGGAGGTCGCGTAATTTTGAAAATGGGTGTAAGCTCTCTAATCATGCGATGGCGAGTACAATTAGGGATTAATAGTACGCGGAGTGATGTTTGGAAATTTTGCCAAAATTGGACGAGCCGTCGGGGCGAGTCCAATTTGGCAAATTTCCAAACATCACGAATACTATTAATTCCTAATTGTACGAGCAACGTCGCATGATCACTTGTTTATTATTAGCATGACAAAATTGGATACTTTTCAATGTCAACATTTATATATTCTCTCGCCAAAGTCCAGTCCTGCCAGACATTCAACCAAAATGTGGTACTTTTGTTCGTATTTTCATTTAGTTCTTTTGTTAAAGCAAATTTTGGTGCTTTTGTTCGTATTTTCATCTAGTTCCTTTACGGCAATTTCATTTCACATTTGTGTTTAAAATACTTTTCCGCCATTATGTTTGTTTTACTGCAGTACAATTAATTACTGCAGTACAATTAATGAAATAATTGTACTCCTCTCAACCAATCAGCACCCAGTAATTTTGTCATGCTAATAATAAAGTGAGTTAACAGTCGATCTTACATTGTCATCCCAGCTGGCTACAGATTTTGTTTATTTAGCGAAGTGAATTCCTTAAAGGATGACTAATTGGCACAAACAAGTTCGATCACTGGGCGTTGTACCGATCTGTCGCTTTGTGAAACCATAGTTAATAGAGGACAGGGTTTGGAAGGCCGGCAAACTTCAAAGGCTTTCGAGCTAATTAATTTCAGATGTTGGAAACATAGATATAGGTTGTTTACCATTTACATGTAAAACCCATCCGGTTTGAAATTGTGCTAATGGTAAGCAAAATTTCGGATAGAAAATCCCATTCGGATTATTCGCTTTCCATTTAATAATTTCAATTGTTAAATCGCGAAGAGAGGACAACCTTTTCAAACAAACCGTTTATTCCGGAAAAGTTCCGGTTGGGCCGTCGAAATATGCTTGTTCCATTTACTTCCCGTATGGAATCACCGGAATTTCCATGTAAATGGTAAACAACCATAATAAACCTAGATTGCTGACTCATACCTAGCGCAGGTGTGACCTGCACTATGAGATAAACATATATGCAGTGTTTCCACTCCCAAAAATAATTTCCTTCATAATCCGAAATTTCCCTTTTTTCCGCAGAATTTCCTTCCAAAAATCTCTGAATATTCTTTCATTTTTCCTTCAAAAATTTTATCAAAATTGACAGATTTACCTGGTAATTAACATCTAACTCTAGTATTGAAACATATTATATTAATTTATAGCAGATAACTCTGTATTTTGCAGGATAAAATCAGCTCATCTTCGCCCGGGTGGACAAAAGGCATAATAATTGGGGGCTACCTTGCTGTGGATGCGAAAAGCCGGATTCCATAACTGTTTCTTGCATCTCTCCCCTGGACATACACACAAGAACGTTCGCCTTAAGGCCTGATTCCACGGGCGCTTTTTCTCGGCGAGATGCGAAATATTTCGCCTGTTTCTTTTGAATTGCGACCACTCGAATAAATTATTTCTACTTGATTGCCCACAATTCAAAAGAAACAGGCGAAATATTTTGTTTTTCGCCGAGAAAAAGCGCCCGTGGAATCAGGGCTTAAGGGTCTTTCCTGCCCACGCTAAGCAGAGTCTGAGAAATAATACCCTGGGTACGAGGTTGGGTTGATATTTCAATATAGGGATTCTGGGGTCCTGTCCTGGGCAGCCGAGAAGTCCTGGGAACGAGGATGGTCCTGGATGCTCCAGGACTGCATTTACGGCATTTTTTTTCACAAAATTGTGTGAAAATCGCCTTATTCATAGACTGATTTATGAGATAAAATTCCTTTTCGTTTCCCTCCTTATAACAATATTTCTTCCCAATTTCCTTCCTAATGCCATTATTTCCTTCCATATTTCCTTCTGAATGCCAAAATTTCCTTCTGGAAAAAATTTCCGTCCAAGTGGAAACGCTGGAAATTATGCACCAGAAAGTTGTTATAAAATAGACGAATTTAATGCATTTTGGTTGGTTTGGGAAGCGGAATACGAAATCAGAGGCCCAATACTTCAAGGTGGTAATAAAATTGACATGGATAGTCAATTTAGCGTGAATAGTCGATACATTTTGCGTTCGACAATTACTGTATATGCTCGGAATTCTGTGGAACGTGTGAACTCGCCGCATGCTTATCCGGTTTTTTTTATCAGTTTTTTATACAGCTATTTCAATTAAGGTTGTCCCCGAGCAAAGCGGAAAAATCTAATACGAGCGCGAAAGGCTGCCGGGAATCGATAACAAATTAATGAATTTTATTTTCTCGATCGAGTTTATCTATTGGTCGCAATGCCGTAGCAAGCTTGATAATTGGGGGGGGGGGGGG